CTATTTGTATTGATTGCATTGCCAAATTGGCAAGTTGCACTAATTATAAAATTGCATAGTCACGGCGTCAAGCCGTATCATTCGTATAATTTTGGAATGTTTAGGTGACTTTGCACCTCTCGTATTATCTGGTATTGTCTAAATGACAATTGCATTAGTTCATTGCCAAGGTGGCATATTTGATAATATAGTTGTTTTCTTATTTAACGGGTTTAACAGTTATAATTTGAACACGCTCTGTGCGGCTTTCTTTACTTCTCTTTATTTTCAGGAATCACCATATAGCCGTAATAGCATCCTTATTTTCAGTTCTACATATTGATATACGCAAAAAGAGTTCATGCTTATTATTCAGTTGCTGAGTCTCTATACCGTCAAGGAAATATCAAAAATTGTCTCTTAATTAATTCTAAGATACCATATCAATTCTTCCAGTTTGGTGAGTGAATTTGATTTGATTACATTATGCAATACACACTAATGTGAATATTTCATTTATGCGCTTTTGTTGATCGTGCGTTGATTATATTGTATTTTATATGTACTTGCATTTATATGATTTAACGTATTCTATTATGTTAATATATATGTTGTGTCTTAAGAATATTACTTAGTCAACTCAATGAGTGAATAAATTGTTACAGTCTTTTCTTTGAGATATGTATAAATGAGTTTCCCTTCAAGATTATTCGTTGTTTCTGTATTTTGAAATTATATTTAACAAAGATTTATACAGTGTTTCTTTAGACACTCCAAATCATTTAAATCGCCTAAGTCAAGATTGTTTTTACTGCTGGTCGTGGTACTTGAATATAGAACCTTTGTTTGGACAGGATAAATCTATGAAGAAATTTAAAATACTTATTAGAAAGGCATATTAATTTTTATATTTGTGGTATGCACATAATACATACAAATGTATATTAAGCAAGACTCAAGAAAAATAAAAATCTGTAATATAATATTATAGCTTACCATTTCTTCTTTAACATTGAGATTTAGTTGATGGCCCAGGCATATTGGTTTCTTTTTGTGGACATTGTTCTATTCGCCAAATATCATGATGTATATCTAACATGTGTTTATTTAAAGCTTTCGCACGTTTAATTTTAATCATACCATTACACTCAAGACACCTTACATAATTTTTGTCTATTTCAAGCTCTTGAATATGGTCCCATATAAAACTCGTTTGTTTAAAATCTAATTCTAAGGATACACGCATTTTATGATCCGAAAATAAATGTACCTCTAATATTGTGATTGGATATTTGATCGTATAAATGTGACCACAAATATTACATTTTATGCACCAATCGTCAATTTTAGTAAAATGCTGCCGTTTCGGATGAAGTTTTTTACTTTCGTCATGTGGGTTTATTCCGAAATGGTCATCCACACTTTCCATATTTCGGTACATAAAAATGGTTGAAACAGAACGTGGACACATTGCACATTGTGCTTGAAAATACTTCAACTTTCTAAAATATTTGAACTCCCATTCTTCTTGATTGTTTTGTGTAGACATTTCGGTCGTTTTACGCAATAGTAATATCGAATAACTACGAAAAAAAGTACGAAGAAAAAAGAACAAATAAAGCAACATAAGATAATGCATTAAAATTTATAACAATTTTTATAATAATATTAATAAAACTTACCGTTGCTTTTTCTTTATCGTTGTGTACTTGGTGGTGGTTTAGGCACATTGGTTTCTTTTTGTGTATTTGTGTTGTGTTGTTCTACTGCGCGTGTGCCTTGATTTCGAGTATGTGCGTGTTTACATGTCCCGAAGAAATAAGTTTCACGATCCGACCGCACTCTTTACAATGCGCGCTATAATCATCATGCTGTGTAATACACTTTCATATAAAGCTCAAACGAGATGTGCCATCTTTTCCTACAAGTATTTTATGTTGAGAAAAATGTCTGATTAATGTTGTGATCACATAATTGCATTCGTATGACTGTTCACAAAGATTGCACTGCACGTGTAAATAATCATTCATAATATTGAAATGCAGCCAATAAACTTTTTCTGCCGATTAACGTTGCAGTTTTGAAGATTATCATGATTGTAGATATTGAAAAACAGAAAAATTTTACAAGTTTTAATACAGTAGGGGTTCAGTTTAGATAATTGTAATAAACATGTTTTTATTGCTAATATGTGTCGTAATGATTTTCATGTATTAGGAAATGCTCTTAAAATACATAGCGTGAAAGCTCCTATCGACTTCACTACATTAGCTATAGAACAGATTGGCGCGAGATATTACATACATCTGGATGTCTTCTCTGTTCGAAATCGTGATATTAAATCGTAATATTAAAATCGTTTTTAGTAATTAAAAACATGACGCCTAGCGAAAATGACAAATTTAATAACATGCAAAGCAGCGATTAAAATTTTATATCTTTTGTAAATCAACACTGGTGGAGGCCTGATATAGGTCTAAACGTTTGTTAATATTTTGATTTGAAATAAAAATTGCACGTCCATCTAGCATATACTTTCTGCTTCTTTATATATTATTGTTTTAAAACTTTTTATATTTAAATAAATTATTAACAACAAGCTACAGAGCCCAAGCTGGATTTTCGTGCTTAATTTATTAATATATTATGACAAATGTTTAGGTCAATCTAGACGTTTCGACCATCTGGTTGTGGTCATCTTCAGTAGTTAGTTATTATAAAATTCGGAACATATTAATAAACAATCGTTACTTATAAAACTAATTCGGATATTACAATCTTCTTATATTCGTTACATTTAAAAATTATATTCGTTACATTGAAAAAGCAATAGAAAGCATAAAAAACAGATGGGAATGGATTAGAAGGTACAATTCCATACCAATAGAAGAATTTTTAATTGGTATCAATTTAGTTTTAAATTCAACGTATTTTAGTTTTAATAAAGTAATTTACAAGCAAATTTTTGGCACTCCAATGGGTTCTCCTCTCTCTCCAATAATAGCAGAATTTGTGTTACAAGATTTGGAAAATTCAGCAATCGAACGTCTACCTTACAAATTACCGTTTTATCTTAGGTATGTTGACGACATACTATTTACGGCTCCAGAAAATCATTTGGACGAAGTTTTGGAGACATTCAACTCAATGCATAGCAGATTACAATTCACATTGGAAAAAGGAATAAATAATCATATCAATTTCCTAAACGTTAAACTAATATCGGAAAACAATTTTATTAAATTTGATTTGTTCCACAAACCTACTTTTTCGGGTCAGATATTTAAGTTTTTATTCGCATCATCCCATGGCACACAAAAAAGGTGTTATCATTGGCTTATTTGACAGAGTTGTAAAGTTAACACACCCACAATATTGGCACAAGAACATCGAGGAAATGATTTCCCTACTTTTAATTAACGGCTATCCATTAGAATTAATTTTTAATAGTATTAACGAAAGACTTAAAAATTTAGCAATAACTGTTGTAATAAAAACAAAAATAGCAATGATAGAACGGGTTATTTTACGATACCATATATAAAAGAAACTTTTGATAAATTCACACGGAACATGAAAAAATACAATCATCATTTAGCCTTTACGTGTAACAATAAACTTAATAGGTTTTATAAAAACAGGGAAAGACATTATTGAATCCATGAGCCAATGTGATGTAGTATATAAGGTAACGTGTCATTGCGAGGCTAGTTATGTGGGACAAACAAAGAGAAAATTGAAAACTAGAATTAAAGAACACAAGTCGGATATAAATAAAAGAACGGGATCCCCTTCTGTCATTTCTTGTCATAGATTAGAAAAAAACCATGAAATGGATTGGGAGAATGTAGAAATATTAGACAAGGAAATGTCTTATAGCAAAAGGCTTATTTCCGAGATGTTGCACATAAAACGGCAAAAAACGAGTCTCAATAAGCAGAACGATACTGAGTTACTGCCAAACTTGTATTTGCCAGTTCTCAATTTGTTTACTGCTTAAAGATCACTCACTCTCCCACCACGAATCTCCTTCACATACGAGTTCTCTAATATATCCTCTATTATATTCAACTAGTTTGCCATGTCCACTCAAACGACACGGACCTCCAATATCATTTTTAGCAAACTGACTCGCTACACCGAATTTAGTTTTGGTTCTTAGTTTTTTTAAAATAAGAAAGTTTACACGAAAACACAACATGACGGTACTGCTATGCATTGAGGTAAGAATATTTTTAGTAATTTTAATAAATAACAAGTAATATAAAGATAAAAATAGACATTGGTTCATGCTGGGTTTTAGAATAATTGCAATCAACCACAATTCAAGTCTTAAAAAGGACATCGTGTATGTTTAATGTAAAACATGATTTCCTTCCTGATGATCTTAAGATTGGTGTTATTAGAAGAGGCATGACTTTCAAGATGTGTTGTCCTCTAAACAATTTTTAAATGTAACGAATATAAGAAGATTGTAATATCCGAATTAGTTTTATAAGTAACGATTGTTTATTAAT